AAGTGATTTCCAAATGGGACAATAAGTTGCCTTTGTCCATTATCTTGCCAGTGGATCCATCTGAAAAATATATTATTATGTGGATTAAATAATCTTGACAGGAAATAAAAGTGCCTAGTATAACAACCTCTTTAATAACTTGTATCACAGTATAATGTTTATTCAATAAAGGTGAAATGTAAGTAGCTTAGCATGATAGATATCTTGTGTATTATCAAATAGGCTTCTGTTGGGGAGCTTATGCCTCTATTTGTTTCATATGCCTACTCACCTCCTGTATATGTTTCCACCAATATATTTCCCCAATACAAAGAAAAAATATTATTTCTCACAGATTTTGATTTATCTACTGAGGACTGCTTCAATACTCTTTTCTGACTACTGACCCTATCTCTGTTGCCCAGAATAAGTTTTTAAGACAGACTTTTTATCTTTAGATGTTTATATAGTTTGATCTGCTATCACCTATTCACTGGGTGTGTATCTTTAAATCCTTTATTTTATATCAGCCCAAAATTAATAACATTTTTTTAGATATGATGAGATGAATTATTTTAAAGAAGTTGCTTTTGATGTTTTCCTTCCAGCCGATGTGTAGGCAGCTTACTTACCAGATTATTTCCAAGTTGTCGTCCATTTTGCTTAGGCATGACGTGCGTTTACAGCCATGACATGGATGATTTTGTATTACTTATAGAAGCTGTCTCATTACCATAGTGACACTACTGATGAAATAACAAGTTAATATTCAAATACTAGTTATAAGGTTCTCACTGCAATGGGAAAACTACTGTGAATTACATTGCAATCCTGACATTAACAAAAGAGAGAATAAAATACATAGCACACACACTCTTAAACTAAGACAATTTTTAACATAAACTAAAAATGTCCACTTCCAGGAAACTTTATACATTCAAAAGAAAGATAATTGAGACTTTCACATTTTCAGTTTACAGTAAGAAGTGTGATATTTTCAGCTGTGAAGATCAGGGTTTACTTTCAAATATGTAAAATGAATAATATTTTCCCCATTTATGTGTAACCTAGATTCATCTTTAATCTTTTGAACAGCTAGGTCCTATTCATAATTTTACGCATATAATGTTTGGAAGAAAAGAACAACCAAAAAGGGTAGAATGTAGGAAAGGGAATAAGGAAGTAGAAAAAAGTAAGCAATAAAAAAATTAAAATGTAGTCTAATTTTTTACTTCAAAAGTAATTTTTCATGTTGCTAATTGTCCTCAGGAGCAGATAGGGTTATCACTAGCGAGAAAGAGAGTCCTGAATTGGGCAGGAATCTAGAGCGGAGTGTAGCCCACAGCCTACACAGCCAGGGAAGTGGGTATGAAGCCAGAAAATAGGTAACAAAGGCAGTATTTACTTCCCTCTAGTTTTGTCTTGGGAAGAAAAAAACAAAACAAAAAACTGTCCCTGGCATCAGCACAGGTGATGGCAGATTAAGTGTATTATCTGATGTTCATAATAATAATGGCCTATTTGGGCTGGATCCTTAGTGCGTATAACTGTTGCTCTTGTTTCAGAGTAGAAATACTAAGATAGAAGACCCAGAAAAATGTATGGCTGGGGAAAATAAAGAACCTTGGTGAAGAACTCTTTGAAGGTCTTCTTTTTATATGAGTTCCTTGTTGTGCCAAACCTGTTTTACAATTATGTAATTGCGTCCTCAAAACAACCTGTGAAACAAGTACTATTATCACTTCCACTTTATGGGTGAGGCACTGAAACCCATATGTTTGAGTAAGTGTCTTTGGACAAAATAACTAGATAGTAGTAATGCTGGTGTTTGCACCCACATTTCTCTGAATTAAAGTCCTTGTGTCTTCCTCTAATGCACATTACAAACAACAGTAATCTCCCAGATAGGTAGAAAGATATGACATCATAACTCTTATATTTTCATTTTGATGTGTCTGATTTTGTAACTTCTTTTGGCTTCTGTATATGTTTGGCACATTTACCATTAATCGTCCTTGAACTTTACCCAAACCCTGTGTAACTTGGCTCCTGTCCCAGGAGCCAGGCTCACCCAGGAGATGTGCTGATTAGGCCTCCGTTGGGAGAATCCCATCTCTCCTTTGGGGAAGCTACCACCTCTATGCCGATGACAGCACTTGCTTAGAAGATTTTAAATTGACTGGGCCAGTTGGAACCTCCAGAACAATCCTATACTCATATTTTTCTAAAGTCACTATGAAATTAATATTAGACACAGTGTTCTTTCCTGTTTGAAAAGTTTTAGCAATATTACTCTTCCCCAAAATATTGAAGATAACATGTCATTAATTTGAATTCCACACAACTTATTTGATTATTCTAAAATAGCATGTCTTTAAAAATCTTTTAAATTCTTTTAAAGAAAAAAAAGATTAATTTTTCATAAACTTATTCAACTATGAAACTCAAACACAATTATCAGTTGATTTTTTTGTGAAACAACAAAACCAATAAAATTCAAATGCATTACTACTGCCCCATCTAAAATAAATGATATTGTTTTGCTGAAACTAAACTATCACTCACAAGAAATGTTGTGCCGACTGATGCTGGGCATTTTATTTGAGTTGGACATGTCCATATAGACTGAAGACAAGTAATTATTCAATTTCCCCTTCACTTGTTCTATTTACAATATTTTGAAAGTCTGTTTGTACAGTGTACCACATTGTCATTTGGCCTATATTTGTGTAAGTGCATCCTTTACTGTATTAATTTCAGCTCTGTTAGCCCACAACAAATGAAGAGATAAACTAATTCTCTATGGTGTCAAAATTATTCTAAATACAATCTCAAACAAAAAGCCTGAAATAATGAAGCGTTGCTCTATTATAATTTGTTCATATAAACTAATCGATACCTGTATCATTTTTATTGGATTATTTTCCCCATGAAAAAAATTTTAATTCATGTTAAGTACTCTCCGACCCTGGTAAATTCATCAATAAATACACAAGAATCTGGGACCCCCATTTAAGAAACACATTTCTAAAACGCATCAAAAAATTAAACAAGAATACAGTACATGGTGAATTGGGGGTAGTTAAGTTAGTAAATACAGTAAAAAGCATGGATTATTTATAAATTTGTATAAATAACATGCACAAAAATCTTTCATGTTAATTTTTCCACCTTTTCAAAAAATAATGTGAAGCATCCAGTATGGGTCAAGATCAGTGAGAGGCGCTTCAAGAATTGCAACCAGGATGAGGAGAGAGTCCATGACTTGGGAAGCTTTACCCAGCAGGGGAGACAGGCACGTGTACCAGGATGGCTCCACGTAAGATGTGGGAAGAGCCATGGGCCATACTAAATTTTGTGTAAGTGCCAACAGGGAAATGCCAGAATGATCCAGAGGACACCTGTCTCCTGTACATGTGCCAACTTCCGTAGCACTTGCTCCAACTCTCCATTAAACCCAGTTTTCCATAAGACACTGTAATACTAGAAGTGGGAAAAATCACTCTATTGATTTTTACATGTCTGAATTTCATTGAAAATTAATATGTGCAAGGGACGCAAATGACGTATTCCAAGATATATAGGTAGGTAGATAGAGGGGGGAGTCGGGAGGAGGAAGAAAGCAAGAGGGAAGTAGGGCCGGAGGGATGGCAGAAGAGGCTGACTCAAAAATCTAACCAGGAATAACAGTTGTGTACGTTAGCTAGCCAAGCAGGTCTGAGTGAATATGTTTCCTTTAGAAGCTTTTGAAATTAAGATAAATTCTGTCCAAGTAGGTTGCTCATCTGGAAAGCTTGGTACTTACGCACTAACCCTCCATCACTCTGGATGGGGTGAGGAAGGCTTTCCAGAGGAGGCTTAATCTAAATACACCAGGTAAAAAAGAGGCAGATCTCCCCCAACTTGCTTGGGAATGAGCAAATTCCAATCAATTTTATCCATAATAAAATTTCAATGAAATATTTATTCTAAAATCTTAACAAAAATTATGAGAACAAAACCCACCCCCACCTCCACCCGTTATCCAGTATGACTTGTTTCTATTTGGGCTATAAGTGGGCTTATTTTCCTAGTATGGTAGATGTTTTTACATAAAGATAATGAAAGGTTAAATTCTGTAGAATTTATTTCTAACCTAGAATACATTTTAATTTCAAAAGGCTTCTTTCAGTTTTAGTTGGTACGTGGAACGTCGTGTCTTGAGTGTTTTTATGACTAGGGTGTATACAACTAGCACTGATATGCTCCAGTGGGTGCCGCTGCAGCCCCAAACTAGTTACCTGGCATCTCACAGACTGATCATTTTAATGATGAATCCCCTTCCCACTGTTAATGAAACTATTGTACTGACTGGGTGACTGTATATCATATGGCCTTAAGATCTTTAAAACATCTGCTATCTAGAAAAGCAGTAGCTCTTTAGATAGAGACTATCTGATATATTATTTCCATGTATTTCATTCAAACTTTATCTTCTCAGGTTTTTCTGAGAAGTCTTCTTTACAATGATGCTGGGATAATGCTATTTAATCACAAATTCACATTTTGAGGCATCTTCTTTAGGTTTTAAAACACACTATTTCTGCAAATTAGCATAGAAATATATTTTAATGACACTTCCCTAGAACACTGTAACAAAACTATGAAACATATTTTAAGTTAAATCCAAAATGAATCTGCTCTCCTTTGAGTTTTTTTACTAGGTCCAAAAAAATTTAAATTGTTTCTGTTCATGTACATAGCCTTATAAAAATGAACTGCCATACAAATTAATTATTTTTCTTTTATTCTGTGTTTATTTTGCTTAGAATGTGATGCCTTTTGTTTTCTTTTTGCTTTTTTCAATTATAATATATGTATTTGTGTTTTGTCTGCAATGTAATAAATTCTATTGTACTATTTTGGGGGGAAGACAGAGGAAATGAAATTCTAATTGACTATATTGTTTGATTACTTTACCTCTTTGCTACCTGTTTTGGACCTCTCCTAATTTTATTTTCTTTTGTTACTATTTATTACAGAGGAGGTGTCTGCAAGGATAGTTCAAGTAGTCACGGCTGAGGCTGTAGCGGTCCTGAAAGGTGAACAAGAGAAAGAAGCTCAACATAAAGGTCAGCCTGCAGCTCTGCCTTTAGGTAAATGAGAAAGAACCTCAGATCAGGGGCTGTGTCGGCTGCACCCTGATCACTGGATCAAGTCTTCATGTTCAAAGATAAGCCATATCTCGTAGTTCATCCTTATATAGAACATTCATCAGACACCTCTCTTGGAATATGCACTGGGACCTATTTTCACATTTCTCAACCAGGGTCATTGTGGTGTTTGGGTAGTCTTTAGGGTGATAATCTTATAGTTAGACTTTGCCCTTAAATTGCCCTTAATTTTTCATTTCTTGATGACATGAGATAGTTATTATAAAAGTAAAGCCAAGACGTTTTGATATCAATGCCCCCAATGATAAGGAAAAGGTACTAATGCTTTCATGAGAGATGACTGTTTCTCTTTGTGGGTTTTGGTGAATAATTGTCTATACTGCAGTCTTGTTCGGGTCTCTCTGAACCAGCTACAGAAAACCTATAGCCAGAGCTTTATTAGAATCATCAGTGACTTTGTATTTCATATGAGGTACTGGTCTTCACTTGGTGCATTTAAGGGCACTGAGATGGCATTGCCTGTCCCTTGGTCATGAGTCAAATGCCCTCCATTGCCAAACAGGTAGTGTAATGGTGCTTGCTAAAGAAAGCCATTCTCAGCCAAGAGCTCTCTGACCTGCTGATGATAGGTAGGTAGGTAGACAGATAGATGATAGATTGATGACAGATAGATGTAGTAGATGTATATACATACAGAGATACAAGAAAGGAAACTCTTAAGTTCAACATATATATTTACTGCATAGGTACATAAAAGTAATCTATAGAAAGGTATGGCTTTTAAAGCCTAAAAATAGTCCATATCCCTTTTTCTCTCTTATAGTCGAATGTATCCTTAATATTTGATTTTCTGATCAGGACCTCCTAACTGTCTATTAAAATTAAGCAATAAAAAAACTCTGCTCTCCCAGAATAATTAAAAATATTCACATTGTTTTCAATAAAGCGTTTTTAGATTATCAAGGATTATTTTTCTCTTAAAACAAAGAGGGAAAAATTAAAGCATTAACCTTGTGCCTGATGTTCACTTCTATTCTTTGAAATAAAAGAAAACCCCACTGTTTTTTTTATTTATTATTATTTGAAATAAGCCATGTAGAAGTCCATAGAGTCAGGGAAGTAAAGTCTCCTGTTATCCCAAAGCTGTCTCTACTAACTGCCTTATGAAATAAAAATTTGCATCATCTTTAAAATAGATTTTATCACTGGCCTTGATTGATATATATTTCCTGTTGAAATTCCTTACCTTCATATGTGCAGTCAGAAAGGATCTTGAAGAGGAAAACGTACCATTAACTGTGAATGAATTCCATCTATTAGAACGTTTCTCTTTGGTCCTTCTTCATATATCATGCCAAGGTCAGAAGATGACTCAGCTTCCGTGCGTACATGGTTTCTGTCTGAGGATTGCCTCAGGCTATGACTTCTTCGTTTTTCTGAGAGTACATACAGACGATGGGTTTTGACATTAGACTCAGGGGTCAAAATATTGTTTAAAAAATATATTACCTAAAATAACTGTGAATGATCAAAGTAACATTTGTTTCCAGATCAAGACATTGAACAACAGAAAGTTCTAATATTTTTTTCAGCCTATCAAGCCAAATCGAAACTAAAATGCCTGCCTGTGTGTATTTGAGTACAGAAGATTGGGACCAGAATAAAATCTTTTATTAATTGAACAAGCAGACACAAATTAATGGCATTAATGACAGAATTTTAGCTGGCATCTCTAATCCATTTTTATGGCAAAGAAAAAGTGATTTTTAAAAAAAATATTAAATGCTCTTTTTTCTTTTTAGGTTTTCAAAAATATGTGAATCAGGTAATAAAGCTAAAAATGAGTCAAGCGCAACTTACTATTGAATCTTTCCCTGAATGTCATAAAAAGGTCTTTTTACAGACGGCAAAACTGCCTACACACCTACTAGCCTAATAGGAATACTTGTCGTAGCTCATGTTTCCTTTGTTTGATCTTTAGCACCTGAAGAGACAGCTAATCTGCCTCCTTCTCCACCCCCATCACCAGCCTCAGAACAGACTGTCACAGTGGAAGAAGGTAAGGCCTATTGGACTATTTGAGGTTTGCCTTCTGGTAAAGCATAAATAAACATCGACCCATAAACACTGGACTTCAGTATGGGTTAGTATGTGACTCAGCTCTGGAGCTGTCTCTTTCAAATAGTCAAGAAAGAACACAGACTTTATAAATGTCTATAAAATCAGAAGTAGAAGAATATGGTAAACAAAAGGAAAAATCTGCTTGATAAAGGAAAAGATAACTGTGTTTAAATTGCTAGAATAACTACAGAGAACCAGTTTACTTCATGTAGAATGTTTTGACAGAGAAGATACAATTCTATTTTGTAAGTGACTAAACAGAAATCAATTATTGAAGAAATCAACACTTCGGAAGTGTTGTCAGGAATTGTCTTTATTTTGTTGAACATGGTATTGCCAAGGCCTTCCCGAGGACCTGGTCTGTTGCAAGCTCTCAGGAAGTATTAATGAATAAATGAAGAAGTTAATGAATGCATCTGATATTGAGAGCAATGAACTGGAAGCTGAGCGCGTGGCTTTCCTACTGAGACCTGTTATTGTACATGAATCTATTTATGCATTTACTCAATATGCAAAGCCAGGTCAGCTTTTTAGTTCTCCTGGATAAAACAGAGGGATCCCTTTGAAGAATTTTCATTCAGAATCTGAGATGAATGGTGCTATTTAAAAGCAAACTATGATTGATTTTCTGACTTAGATCAGTTAACTTTTGTGTGTTGTTTGAGTTACAGGAGAAGGCAGAGGAGAGCTACAGCTCATTTGTTATTTTAATATTTATTTTTCAAATACCGAAACCAGAATTTTAATACTAGTTCATTTTATTCATTTATTTCCTCATTTATTTTCCCCGTCTGCTTTCCCTTTTAGAGATCATTTTATTGTGTTAAAAATTGAATAATATCACGAAACTCACTGGTTTTTTAATTTATAATTACATTCATTTAAAATATTCTTTGATTTTCTAGATACACATTTTCTTAAATTACTAACCTATAAACAATCAATCAATATAAATTATTTTTGTCACAGATTTATAAACCAAAATTTTTTAGTGTGTTGTTTTGTTTTCTTTTCATAAATTGAGGCCTTTTTTTTTTCAAATTTACTGCCTGAAATAATATTAAACAAACTAAGTTATTCTGCTAAGCACAAGAAATTTTGGGGACTGTGATCAGTGCATATAATCAGTGTCATAACAGCCACTGATTATTAGTTAATTCCCTGAAAAATGTGATTTAATCTTTTAACTCATAGATTTGAACAATTCTTTTAGCCTTATGTCCATCCATTCATTCGGCACATATTTATGGAGCACCGACGATGTCCACAGTACTCTTCAAATTCTGGGTGTACATTAGTAAACAAAACACTATGATCCCTATTTGTAAGGAGCACACCGACTAATGGAGAACAGAGATCCAGTAAATAAACTTACACGTAATTTCTATTAGGATTAGCACTAGAAAGGAAAAGAATAGGGAGCTTTCAGCCAGAACAAAGGAAATCTTATTTTCTTAGGTGGTGAGGGCACAGTTAAGAAGCTGAGCCTAGAAGCATGAGGTGTTGCCTAAGCAAAGACGGAGGAAAGGAACATTTGGGGCAGAGGGACAGGATGTGCAGAGGCACCAAGATGGGCAAGAGCGTGCAGTGCTCTAGGAACAGAAGGAGTCTCGTGGCTAATGGTTGTGAGAAAAGGGTAGAGCAGTGAAGAATTTGAGAAGAATTCAGGGGCCTGGATTTCACTCCAAATACAGTGGAAAGGCTCCCATGATAGTTATACTTCCCTCAGGTAACTGAAGATGTTTCTCAGCCCCTACTTAAAGCCTTTCAAGTGCCAGAGAATCCTCTTAACCAATAGAGGGGCGTGATGTTGGCTCCAAAGTCAACCAGAGGTCAAGTAATTAATTTACTCTTCTTACTCTTATATGGGAGGTGGAGCAGAAAGGGCACTAGAGTCCTTCATCCATCTGGGAACTTGCCCAGTCTGCTTTTTGGAGGGTGATGTAATGGATGTAATAAAAAGACAAATACAATACAGAATCACTTTTACATTTTGGTAACTTAGGTGTCACTTTCCAGAGTAACCTTTCCTTATATTTTGAGATTGCTTTCTCAAGGCTGCTTCAGTATATTTGAAGAAAATGTCAACTTAGTACTTCCTGTTGAAAGCAATTCGAAAATATTTCATTCTTAACATTTTTCAAACCAAGCTTGTATTTTTATTGATTTTTTTCAAAAAAAGTATTAAACTATATAGCAAGACCTAATGATTTCCTTTTAAAAGGATAACCATTTTTTGAGTCATATAAAAAATTATGTATTTTACAAAGTCTACATCCTTTATTTAAAAGATCAAGTAATAGCCTTACCTTAAATGTGTGAAAAATATGAGGTCTAGACAATAAAACCAGCCCCTCTCTTTTATTTTAAGCACTTTTAAAGTATGTATGAAAATTTTTAAGCTATTTTATCAGAAAATAGTGCTAAGTCACAAGATAGGATTCAGCTTTTCAGTTTTTCAAAACAAGGGGTTTGTAAAGACCCAGTCAAAATTCCATTAATGTATTGCTCATAGCAGGTCTCTTGAAAAGGGAACAGGTGGGTTTTTTTCATCCAGAGATTTTTTTTTTTTTGTTACCCTCCTTGATCCACCCTCAAACCAACTGTAATCTAAAGGCACAGTGACTGCCACAGGCTAGTTCTTTTATAAAAAAAAAAAAAGAGCTCTTGGATTAAATTGAGTGGTTCAGTGGTTTTGAGGATATGCTTACTTTTTGTTAATTATCAAACATTTTAAAAGCTGTTTTTTCCCAGAGTGGATCCATGAAAGCTTCCACTAAAAATAATTTAAGGTGTTAATTACTATCATTTATGAATATTCTTCCATTGTAATCTATGTAATATTAATAATTCCCTGAATATGTGCTTATACTGAGAAACATTTAAAGGGATTTTGATGACAAAATTAAACAAGTAGCACACTTTGAAAGGAAACCCAGGTACATTAAACTAATATTGTACTAGTTATGATGTTTTCAAATGAATCTCCTTTTTCTTTTTGGCCTAACCATAATAGTTGTCATTTGGACTAAACTGTTAGAATTTGGAAGCCCATGCAAGAACATAGGAATTATCAGAAAAAAGACCCAGGAATCTTTCTGCCCTCTTAGGTTTGTTCCAGAATTCTAGGGTGGTGTTTTCCCGTGTCAATGATGTGGAAACATTATGATTATTAACCTGAAAGCAGTTTTCCCTCCATATCATTCTGGGGCAGCAAACCCATTTGGGAATCTGAGGAGTCCTCAATCAAAAGCCTGCAGAATGGGAAGGGTTTAGAGAAGTTGGAGAACAATGTAAGTGGAGCCAGCCTCCTTCAGCCATTGGCGATGGGGCAGAAGATGTGACACCAGGACAGACAAAAATCACTGTCACAGATACCTCATGAGAGTCAGTCTCTCATAAAAGTGACTACTCATTTGTTCCAAAGGGAGCTGACATACCAAGTCTGGGTTTTGCATGGCAAACCTCACTTTAACCCAACATAAATTTTCAAATGCTTTAAAAGTTTGTGTGAAAGCAAATTAGGAAAAATGTATTCCTCCACTGAAACCAGGTAAGCTTCATTTTTGAAGTTTATCATTATGAAAAAGTGCTATGCAAAACCCCAAGTTTCATAAGGCTAAAGGCTAGCCTGTTCTTTCACATATCACATTATTAAATGAAATATTTTGTGGCATAAGAAGTATCCCCAAAAGCATGTGAACTTATAAAAGGAGGCATTTAATCCTGACCTTAAACATCAAAATTAACTGTGATGAAGTGAATTTACTTTTTCATAAGTCTCTCAAGCCTAGCTTTGATGTGTCAAATGAAAAGAAAGCAGGGACGCGTGACCTGTTGCTTGAGTATGTTGAAAGATGCTAACATGTGTGAGGTCCAGCCCTGTGCTTAGCAGTTTCTCAGATACCATGTCATTTTATCCTCCCAGCAACCCACAGAGATCGATCATATTCACTTCCACTTCTTGTCCAGGAAGTCATGGCTAGTTTAGGGCTTATCCAGACTTCACACCCAAATCTAAGTCCCTGCCGCCACAGCGCCCCCTGCATCCCTGTAGCCGCCTCTTTCTGATCTAGGTTCTTAGTGTGGGACTGTGAAAATGAAGCAATCTTCTAATGAGAGTTTTGTTTTGTTACAAGCTACTGGACTAATTTCCTTCTTTTCAAATCACTCCCAAATAAATTATTCATTTATTTACAATTATCCTGTATCCCACCTCCATCAGCTATGAACCAAGAGCACCTGACATACATAATTCCATAGCAAATGGGGATCTACTGTCTTTTGTCATTATCATTGGGACCAAGTGCCCCGACTGTTTGGACGTAGCTGGTCATGGTCCTCTAAGCATCACTTCCCCAGCACATCCCTGGGACTTGTAAAGTAGATGGACTTCAGGCTCTCTGGTCCTAAACAGAGGCTTAGAGAGTACATACAGTTCACGGGACCAAGAAAGCACTGGGCTTCGCCAGACATTCTTTCTGAAGCTGCCTGGCTCAGGTCCAAACAAACTCTACAGAGAAACTACTTTCCCATTGCAGCTGTTAATGTTGTTGCTCTTTGTTGCTCTTGTTCTCTGATTAGAGTCAAAGTTTTCAGAATAGAGAATGCTGTTTCTTTGAAATGTTGGAGACCTGAAGCAAGGCTCTGGGTTGTTTGCACGTTTTGACACTTTCCAAAAGAGCAGCAGCAACAAGAAAGAGGTAGTCAAAATCTTCAAAAGGTTAAAACATCCGAGGAGTAGGGCCTTTCAACTTCCAGCTCTCAGCTTTAAATATTTTAGTTTTGTGCAATGGTCCGCTCTACTTCCCAGAAAATAAATGTGGAAAATCAGAAAGGTGAATATGCCATTTTCATGTGTTGATTGTCCTGACAATCTGTTGAACAGATTTGAAGTTTTAGAGGTAACGTGCATACATGGGAAGTCTGTAGCCTCGG